GTTCATATATATGTTTTCTATGCAGAGTGCAAATTGCTGTGCATTTATTTGTTTTTAACTTGACTGGAGCGAAATGAAAATGTCTGAACCCGAAGCTGTGGGTGTTGTATGTCACCCACAGTATTTAAATTTAATTTAAATGACACAATGAATTTGAATATTATTAATGGAAATGTGCTCATTTTCTTTAAGTTGATTCTCAAATGTCTGTGATTTCGAGTAAAGCCTGTTTGTATTTGTCTGAGTTATTTTGTACAATTAAAAGACTGGATACAGCTAGATAGCTGAAGTAGGAAAAAACCTGTTACTGCATTAGCAAAGCTACTGCTCATTGAACAAAGCATCATGCCTCATAGTGTTAGTATGTGCAGTTCCCTTTCGATTCGGTCACGAGACATTGCTATGGGAACTGTGCAGAAGAGTAGAGCTTATGGTTAGGTTGTGGATAACGCTCTCGGTTACTCACGCAACCTCGGTTCCCTGAGATGAGGGAACGAGACATTGCTATGGGAACTACCCTTTCCTCCAAATACTACTAAAGCCTTATTGAATCACGCCAGTGAAACTAGCCAATGGCGTTCAAGCGAGCGAAATATGAGGGGCTCATACTCTATATAAAGCAGCGCTTGTACGTCATCTATTCAGAATCTTTTTCTTCAGCCAACCTTCTACGAGAAGCAAGAAGCCTATCAACAAGACTACTCACCGTGATCTACTCGCTGCAGTGGACACACCTTCTCTTCCCCTGCTGTGTTCCGGTGAGCTTCGGAAACAAGGATGACTCGCGATTACCTCTCCTGCACAGAGCCAATCGAACTCTCTGATGGCCACAAGTCGTGCGTCTTCTACCTGGGCCGCTGTTCTCCGCCCCTCCCCCATCGCTCAAGATGTGGTGCCCTTCGGTGCCATGGAGGGCGCTGAAGAGGAGGATGATGCCATTTCGGTGGCAGCATCTGCAAGAGAGGAGTGGTCTAACAGCCCACTGGATTACACTGCACCCCACGGCAGCGACGCAGGGGACCTCCATCATAGTGATGTCGAGTTCCTTAGTGTCCTGTCCAAGGAAGTTGATGAGCTCGGTTTGGAGTGGGCACCTCCTGCCGAGCCGGCCAGAAGTCGTCTGGACGAGTGGTACCTCCAGTCGGACACCCCGCGGAGGCCCGGCCCCTTTTTCCCTGAGGTGCATGATGAGATAATGCACATTGATGGCGATACTCCAGGTGTATCAGGCCAAGCTGCTCAAGTCTCTGGATGAGGACGGGCCGGACCCTGAAGTGTTCAAAGAGCTCAGACGTGCCACGGATCTGGCCCTCAGAGCGACGGTGGTGACCGCTCGAACGATTGGCTGCAACATGGGGAATCTTTTGGTGCTAGATCGTCACCTGTGGCTTACTCTGACCCGAGTTAAAGGACTCTGAAAAAACGGCCCTTCTGGACCCTCCCGTGAATCCCTGTAGTCCTTTGTGTATTCTATTTGAATATGCTGTGCATAGTATACAAACTGTATACTGCAGAAATGGTAGCAGTAGTAGTATGTTATTCCAAACATAGTATCAGATACAGGAAGACTGGGGGTGAGGATTTGCTGTAGTGATCCTAGTGCCTCTTGGTTTGCTGCCATTTCACCGAACCACATTCACTGTAATTCAAGTGTAAAGACTTTCTTCTCCTCTTCAGATAACTACATCTGGGCTTTTGTATGTAATCCCTTGGGATGGGAAAAAACTGCCAACATTAGAGTTGAAAGAATTTTCTAGAACATTTCTTTTTCTGTTAAACTGTGGGGTGGGAGGCACAACTGTAAATTACGGGAATGATTAATCCCATTTAGCCACAGAAGACTCACAATTTGCCCACCAGCGTATAAAGCCTTTTAATGGTTTAATTGCATCTCAAAGGAGAAGCGCACAGAAGCAGAGTCAAATTAGGGATTGTCCCATATTGGTTCTTGTGCTGCATGAGTGCGCCTGTGTGTGGTTTTCTTTTTTTTAAGTGAATATGGGATTTGGTTTAAAGCTGAAAATCATTAGACTAAGCTTTGCATCCTTGAAGGTTTCCGTCACTTCATTAAGGCTGGTGTAGCTTAGTGATTAAAGATTTAGTCTGGTAACCAAAAGGTTGCAGGTTTGAATTCCATAAAGCAAATCTGTAGCTCAATTGGTAGGGAAGAGCAATGAGTCACTTTTAAAGAAAGTCAGTTTCGTCAGCAGCTATTTTTTCAGTATTTCTACTAGTCTAATGGTGAAATGTCATGGGAAAATTATTGCATTCATTCTTTCGAGAATTAATTTAAGTTTACAAGTGTTGTTTGGTGTGCGTTAGGCCTGTCGCAATAATCAATATATCGACTTATCGCGCAATATAATTACATGACCTCAATAATTTTTGAAGAATAAATAAAGAAAGAAAAATAAATATATGAATAATTTCAATATATTAACTGATGGGCCGATATTGAAATTCTATACTATTTGGTCCTAAATAAATAAATATATGAATAATCTTAATATATTAAATGATAGGCCAAAATAAAATTAAAATGTGTATATTTTTTAAATGCTATAAGTGAATTTAGTCATCACTGCATTATAATATACAGTATGAAAGAGATATTTGTTTTGCTATTTATTTGCTAAAGATTACATTTAAGAGTTCATTTACTTATTTTAAAGTGATTTTAAGCAACTGGAAAATGAATAAATGTAAAACACCATTGCACACTTTGGCCAGTCATTTAACTCCAGGTTATTCTATGAAAGGTTGATTTTGTAAGTGTACTTAAAGTTGCTTTGAATACGCACGTCACTTAAATGTCAAAGTAACAAAGTTCCTAGTCATGACAAAGAAATTACCATAATTATGCTCACTATGAACTTCTTTAGGACCCATAAGCACTTGTTCATTCACACAGCATGTGTAAATCGGTTTCAACACACTTGTATTATTGTATCAATGACAGTTTTAAAGTGCTCTTTCTGTTTAGCAAACAGCTAACAGTGTTCAGTGCCTGCTTAAACAGTCCAGATGGCGTTACGTGTAGCAAGCAGGTCAGCATGGCTGCTGTTGAAAGCAAGTATTGTAAGTACGTAACACCCGTGATCTCCCCAACAACTTTCCCCATCGGCCCCGTTCCCTCAGCATTCCCTAAGGAAACCGTATATCCCGTAGCCACGCAGAGATGTGAGGGCCACTGTTAGCGGAGTCTGAAAAAGATTGAGTGCTCGCTGTTGACACAAGCCTCTCTTTCATATGCAGCGGAGCACCGAGCGCTCAGGCTAAGTACACAGTTTGTGTTAAAGGTTGGTCCACTCGTACCGAGAATTTCATCCGTCGAGCTCTCACCCGCAGAGATGCAAACACTCAAAAGGAGTCAAGAACGGGTTGGCAGTTTGGAAAATAACATGATGAATCAGCTGCTCGATTGTTCAGATGAGATCAGAGCACCCAATAAAAAACAACCAAAAAGTCCAGCATGCTGATGGATGACAAGTTAATTTTTTTTTTTTTTTTTTTCTTTCTATTTGTTATCTTTGCTTCTCTTTACTGATAGGCCTGTAGGATCAAACATGAAAACCTAATAAATAGGTCACACAATTATTATTATTAGTAGTATTATTTCCAGCTTCCAAAGATTTAAAAATTCAAATTTTTAGTCGAATTTTGGCTGGTATGTAAAAATCTGCCCGGTTTTGCTAGTATATTTGAGTGTTTTTATTATTATTGTTGTTGTTGTTGTTATACTAAAAATGATGATAAAAAATATGCCATCAAAACAGTACTCACCAGCCAAAAATCCACTGTAAAGTAGCTACAGTACTACAGTAGCAGTAGTGATACTAATAATAATCATCATAATAAATTGTTTAACTTCTGTTTATTGTTTAATTTCTCTTAATTTTTTATTTAAATGAACATGTTAGTCATATTGTTGAATTCAAAACTGTGATTATACAAATCTAATCTAACTATGAAATTTATATAAAATAAACTTTTTATTCAGCTAGTTGCCAGTGCCTAAAACTGAAATGAAAATGAATTTAAAAAAAACATAGAGACATTTAAAAACAAAAAAATTTAATAAAATTGACATCACTCAACAAAAATTTCTAAAACCTTAAAAAAAAACCTAATTTAAAATTAGATTAGAAATTAGAAAAAAATTATAATAGTGTCTCGTTTATACTAAAAACTATACTTTGGAAAAAAATCATTCCAAAGAATATTGGTCTATACCAAAACTTGAGTCATATGTTAACTCGCGCACCGCTGTGACCAAAGGTTCAAGCTCATTTGACTCGTATCTGTGTGGACTGATCAAAAAGCTCGCTCATTGCCGACCCTCATCCTACCCAGAGAACTCAAGTCAATTCTACTGTCAAAATGACCAAAATGCACATTTCTACTGTAGCACATTTCTTCACATTTTCAGTAGTCAGAATCTGAAACATTGGCAATAGCAGAGATCATCCTGGGGTTTCTTTTTTCAGCATTACTAGAATTACATTGAAAGCTGGAAGGCCTGCATTCATCAAAATTTGAGTATGGCAGTTACTTATTGGGAAAACCGCCAACATATCACCAAGTCTAGGAAAAATCCACCCTGAAAAGCGCGAAACCGTTCCAATAACATCTGCATTTTCCCTACAGGTGTGGCCCCCACACTAGGGAAATAAGCTCACCTGCAAGCGGAATACATGTAATTCAAAAACCTCGGGTGATGTCGCGCACCAGACATGACAGACACCTTCTAAATTATGAGTTTTGAATGTTGCAGTAAGCCTTCGAGATTTCATTTGCTGCTTTTTTTATACAGTACACTTGAATTCACTCTTGATTACAAATTTCCCTGTGTTTAGAAAGCCGCATCTGTTTTTGGCCGGATTTTTCTGTTCTTGGCATTGAAATGGTAGCTCTGGTCGGTCCCCCGGATACCCAGCTGATGCTGCGACACACGCTTTCTGAATTATGTGATTGACCGCCGTAAATTGCTTTCATTCCAGGCTTCATCGCAGCAGCTGAAGTTCACAACGTCAGACTCATGCGACCGCATCAAGGACGAGTTCCAGTTCCTTCAAGCACAATACCACAGGTACACACACACACACACTTTCAATACCATAAAGCAATAGTTCACTTAAAAATGACAATCTGTTATCATTTATTCACTCTCATGTATAATTTGGCTTAAATAAATCTTAATTCCAGTTTTAGTTTTAGCAATTTTATTACTTTGACTTATTTCAAATTTTTCATTTATTTTTTTTTTTTTTTTTAGTGTTTCATCTAATATTTATATTTTATTTCAGCTTTATTTCAGTTATTGAAAATTTTAGTAGAAGTTTTATTTAAGAACAAAAACACTGTTCTGTGGAACACAAAAGGACATGTTTTGAAGAATGTGCTGGTTGCTCTTTTATAATGAAGGGGGACTGAAGCTTTCAAGCTTGAAAAGTAGCGATGTCTAGTTCATGAATGAATCATTATTTTGAGTCCGAATCGGTTCATTGTATCGACTGATTTGGTTGTCTGAATGATTTTTTTTCTCACAAATCTGACAAATTCAGTTCAGTTGAATTCGCTCAGTGATTCGGTCGAAGCTGTTGGAGTCGCCATGTATTTATGACCCATAATTCATGAGTCTTTTTGTGTAATTCATTAATAGAGCCAGTTCTTAAGAGTCATTTGTTCTGGAATCTGATTATAGTAGAAAAGATCTACCAGCACATTACGAGTCGGCAAGTAGTGATTCATGATTCAGTGAGCGAGTCAGATGTTAGTTCAGTAATTGGCCTGTTATAGTGAGGCCATTCTGTGAAGGAATCGCCATATTGATTCTGACCCATGTCGTCTTGTTGATGCAATCTTTAAAATAACTGCTTTATATGGTTCTTGACTCAAGCTATAGTAGAAAATAGCAACCAGCACATTATGGTAATGTAATAAGTAATGACTCGTGATTCAGTGAGCGAGTCGGATGATAATTTGGTAACTACTGATTCAATTAATTCTGTGAAGGAATCACCAGATTGACTGTGACCATTAACTCATGAGTCTTTTATTGCGCAATTCAATAAAAGAACCAGTTCATAAAAGTCATTTGTTCTTGAATATGGTAGAAAAGAGCAACCTGAAAATTACAGGTCGGAAAGTAATGACTTGTGATTTAGTAAATCAAATGTTAATTCAGTAACCGCTCTGATTCAGTGAGTTCATTATGTGAAAGAATCACCAGATTGATTCAGTCCCATAACTCATGAATCTTCTTGTGCAGTCCGTTAAAAAAAAACAGTTCATAAGAGTCATTTGCTCTTGAATCGGACTTCACTAGAAAAGAGCGACCAGTACATTATCAAGATTTCTCATTTTATGTTCCACAGAAGAAAGCAAGCAAGCCATATGAGTTAAGAACCACATTTATTTTTGAACCGTTTCTTCAAGGCAGTCATCTACAAAGCAATGTGACTAAACTCACTATTAGCAGGCATATTTTTATTTAACGCTTCTAACAAGCTTCCCCAATGCCTTATTCCCTTGCCGATTAACACGGAGCGGCTACTGTGATCTGATCCGTCTGATGCTTTGACTCCTGTAGACGAGACGGAAGACTCTTTTAAAGACACAAAGACGCTGCTACTGTCCCGTCTTTAAGGCAACATGTCTTTCCCTCCCTATTCCCATGACAACGAGCAAACCCTCATTTAACCCTGGTTCACAGAAGAATAGGCCCTACGTTTTTCTGTGTGTATTCAGAGCATGGATTCGCCGCCATTGACTTCAATTGAGATTCAAAAGACAAGGGCTTTTTTGGTGCTGCGTTCAGCCTTTTAAGGGAAATGTACTGCAGGCAGTCCCCAGAGCCTCGCCCGAGCTGTCGTTCCCTGCTACAAATGCATAAATAGATCAGGGAATACATAAATCAAAATAAGGATGACAGCAGGAGCGATTTGGAGGCGGAAAGAAGCGGCAATAAAACTCCATCAATGTGTCGGTTTTTTTTGGCGTCTTTTTTTTTTTTCTTTTCTGCGAGAGCATCTTTGGAACCTTCAGGAGGTCTCGGCCAATCAGTGGCTGGCATGGCCAATCACAGGTAGCCTGGCAGCAGGGAGGATGGTCACCATGACAACCCCCAATATATGTTACACAGTCATAACAGCCCAGGTTTTTTCCCCCCTTTCTTGGGATAAGTGGAAGCAGCAGACTGGAGAGGTATGAAGAGACAGAATGCTTGTCATACGGCGACAAAACAAAAATCTCTAGTATGTAGTGGCACTTTTTTATATATATATATACATCAGATACTGTTTCTTGGCTTGTTTTCACCCTTACGTTTTCCCATGCAACACTCTTTTCCATATGGAACTTCTAATTGGATTTCCCACAAACTGAAAAATCGAAATCAAGTTTTTTACTTCAATTTAAATGGACTACTTTTACTTGAATATTTATATATTTTTTTTTTTTGCTTTGATACTTTTACTTTTTAATACTTAATTTATAGTACAATTTAAAGTTGTACTTTTTTACTTTTACTCAAGTATGTTTTGGCAAGATAATTGTACTTTTAATTAAGTGAGAGTACAGATACTCAATGAAAATTTTACTGAAGTGTATTTTTTGAGTGCTTTTTACACCCCTGTTAATTTATTACAAAAAATAATCAACAGATTAAATGTTCTCTCTAAGCGTTTTCTGCCATTTTGCTAACGTCCACTGTTTTACGTTCTTCAAACCCTGCTGATAATAGAGACATTTTTGTGTGGTTTTCCTAAAATAAACAGTTTATTAACACTAAATTCTTCTCCCTATTTACAGACTCAACCAATAGAATGCGAAGAAGCCCAAAATCTTAAAAAATGACTGAAGCATTCTGAACTCATCAGCCTCTGTTGCATAATATATGTCTGGTGTCTACAAATGTAAAAAAAAAAATTTCATTGACCAGTCTTTCTTTTCTCTCTCCAGTCTGAAGCTCGAATGTGACAAGCTGGCCAGTGAGAAGTCAGAAATGCAGCGTCATTATATCATGGTAAGTCTGCACTGAACGCGCTCTCCTCCAGAGGGATGTGCCTTAGGTTAGATGTGCGGGAACATATTCACATCCGCCAGAAACTAACATAGCCCTTACCTGTCTTATTCCGTTGTGTCTTATTCTCGGTCTGCCTCTGCACTGTCTTTTCTGCTGCTCTATTACCATTCTGTACCTCCTGTCCACGCGGAGGCGTCATGCACCAAATATATTTCTTTATTTTTTTGAGGGGACATCAGCTGGGCTCTCTTAGTATTCTAGGCAACTTTATTAAAGGAGGTTATATTACATTTTCTTTTTTTTACTTTTTTATTTATTTATTTAAAATGTGATGGTTCTTTATATATTACTTTTTATTATTATATATAGTATAATTACTTATTTACAAACAATTTCGTAGTTCTTATTATGCATGTGTATATATATTTTTTCAGTTAAGTGATTTTTACAGTATGTACTGTAGTGGTTGTTTATATTATAATATATTACTTAGCTTTATTTTATTTATTTACTAACTATTTATTAACTTGGCAGTAATTTTTGTTTCTCAGTTTAGTGGTTCTTATGTGGCAGTTCTTACAGTCTTATTATATTCTTTATGATATGGTTCTTTATGTATGATTATTTGATTTATTGATTTATTTACAAACAACTTTGGCTCTTAGAAATATGTATTTATTTTTTTTACAAACAGCTTAGTTGTGCTTATGTATGTTTTCAATATGTGGTGATTTTTGTGTATTTTTTGTTGGATTTATTTATTTATTGCTAATTTCAATTGAGTGGTTCTTATGTAGTATTATATTTCAGCTTTATTTAAATAATTTATCAACAACTTTGTGATTATTATTAAATTATATTATGTTAGATATTTGTAATTTATTTATTTACTTATCAGTTCTTATATTTGGCAGTTCTCACAGTCTTATATTATATTATGTTATATTATATTTACTTTCAATGCAAGTACATTTTTTAAGAAACTGCCTTCAAAATCCATTTTCCTCAAAAATCTATCAGTTTAAATTTGGCTGTGATGCTTCTGGCTCCATCTTGTATGATCTGACTTCATCTCCTCCCTAGTCTTCCACCTCCATCCCTTCCTTTTCTACCTTGCCTGCCATTCTTTCTTTTGTCCATGTACTCTGCTCTCTCTTCTCCTCCACCCCCCGATGATATTCCCTCCCCTCCGTTCTAACCGTGTTGTCTCCGGCCTGGGCCTCGTGTTGCCGTCTGATATTCCGCCTCTAATTGATCCGTCGAGCGGCTTAATCTCATTTAATCTGTGCGCCGTTGCTCTCACGCGCATCAGCCAGAGCGCCCTCCCTCCCTCTAATAGCCTATCGGGTTCCCCCTCTCTGTCCACACCCGCTGGAAGATGGGGAGGGTGGGCGTCCGCGTTGACTGGGTGGTAATTGCTTTAGGGACCTACTGCTGCTTGGCAAAGCCGACCCTGATCCAACTCTGGCTCCATCACTGATGCTCCCTGCTCTTGTTTAGCGGCCGAGGTTGTGTTGCACTGCTCGTAGACGCGTGGATGATGAGCGAGGCTAACACTTCAGCACTTACTACGCACATGTTACGCTGAGATCCTAGATGTTCAGTTCTGTGTATTAGAGCTGTAATGCGGCATGATCATGTCTGACTTGCTTTATTTCTTTGCAGTACTATGAGATGTCCTATGGGCTGAACATCGAAATGCATAAGCAGGTGAGTTCGTCTAATCTGACGAATAACACACATCCCTGAGAGGCAGTTTACACGCTCAGATTTTCGTTTTTGAATGCTGGTGCTTTAGTCTATGCACAGAAGTGTCAGTGGGGAATCAAACTATGCCTTAACAATTTATGAAAATTGGTTTATTCATGGCCAGCTTTGGGACTACACTTTCTAGGGCATGATAGCTGGGATATTTTTTTTTATGAATATGGGATGCATTTGATGGACAGCTGGTCCAAAAAACAAACAAATGAACACTGAAATATGAATAAAAATTAAATAAAATATAAAATTAAATTTCAGTCCATAGGAAGTAACCTTTTTGACTTTTTTGTGCTTGGCCTGCTATCACTTTTTATGTGGTGATTTTTTTTTTGTAAATAAATGTTTGTGTGTGTGTGTATGCGTGTGTATATATACAGTGGGTACGGAAAGTATTCAGACCCCCTTAAATTTTTCACTCTTTGTTATATTGCAGCCATTTGCGAAAATCATCTACAGTGGGGCAAAAAAGTATTTAGTCAGCCACCAATTGTGCGAGTTCTCCTGTATGTATGTATGTATGTATGTATGTATGTATGTATGTGTATATATATATATCCGCATTTTTACTAAATAAAGAAACAAGCTCAAAATTATTTGCAAAAGATACAAAAAAAATTATTTCAAATACAATTTTTTAATTTGTTTCTGAAAAAATATTATGTAGCAAAGACTGTTCTTAACATTGAAAATAAAAGTAATGCATCTGCAGCCTATCAGCATATTTATATATATATATATATATATATATATAAAAACAAATGTAGATCATTTTTATATAAACATATAAATAAGGATATTTGAATGATGCAGTGATTGAAATTACTTAATTTCCCACAAAATAAGAAATGCACCAATAAGTGTTGCTCTTTAGAACCTTGTAATGTCTGTAGTGTCATCTGTATATGGCCAACATTTAGTTAGACTGACAGACTGCACGTGGAAATCTAGGTACGCACTGTTGCCACTGCTCCAGTCTCACAAGCACAATTCATCAGTCCCTGCCCCTTTATGTGACACCGGTGAAATATGTTTTTAAAAAGTCAGCCAGGCACAGAAGAGTGTGTGCGAGACAGAAATACAGGGCATGAATGCAAAGAATAAAGCATGCCAGTGTTATGCAGTCATTTCTCTCTCTCTCGCTCTCTCTCGCTCTCTCTCTCTCTCTCTCTCTCGCTCGCTCGCTCGCATGCTGTATGAAGTGTCAGCATGGCAGGCTATTGAAACAGGGTTATTGTTGCCTCTCTCTTTGTCCCAGTGCATGTTTCTCTCCATTTTTCCCCCCCTTAAGCTCTCACGGGCATATTCAGTATTCAGAAAAATCATATTTTCCTGATATGAGCTTTCCCTTCATATATTTGTCCTTTTTTGTAGCTAAGTATGTTATTTATATATAAATAAAGAAATATATATTTATATATATAAATTATTATTATTATTTGCAGTCAATTATGTACTTTGACAAGAAGGACTGTTTATATTTTTGTAGCTGAGCTACTGTAGGGATTTGTGATGACTAAAAGGAAAGAATTTGCTGAACAGAAGTGTGTGTGTGTGTTTCTCCCTGCAGGCAGAGATCGTGAAGAGATTAAATGGGATCTGTGCTCAAGTCTTGCCTTACCTGTCTCAAGAGGTACAGAGAGAGATAGCAGCATTACCTCTACATGCAGTTTATAGCATTACGCCTCTCTAATTTATGCATAAATAACTGATTTGGACAGGCTGTATATAATAGGGATGTAAAGATTTTACAATGAAATCTATGGGCTCGGTGCACTATTTTGGAGGATGGGTATTTATAGTGTAAATGCTTGATTATTTTCACATAATGATTGTAATGTGAATGTGGGAACATGTACAAGATGTGATGTGATTTTTGTGTGTGTCTGTCTGTGTGTCTATTTCAGCACCAGCAGCAGGTTCTGGGGGCGATGGAGAGAGCCAAACAGGTCACCCCACCAGAGATGAACTCCATTATACGGGTAAACAAACTCTCTCTCTCTCTCTCTCTCTGTGTGTGAGGTGGTGGGTGGGGGGGGGGGCTCATGTGGGCCCACACACACACACACGGGTGTATATACAGTAGGCTTTGTTTATGGAAATGCATCTGAATTAGTGCAATTGTGCTTTGCTGTAGGGATTGTTTAATAGTAATTTTTGCATTTATATGGCTTTGAATTTGTTAATTCTGTCTCTTGTAAATTTAAGTTTTAATTCTAGCATGCTTTATTGGCATGACAAAAACTATACATTCATATTATGAAAACATCTGCAGCTTTTGCTTTGTACAAGTGGAAATAAATCAAAAAAGAAACACAATGCAATATAATAATAATATAAAGTAGAAAAAACAGTGTGAGTGGAGTAATCAAGTAATACTACAAATAAAATATGCTAAATTATAAAATAAATTAACCAATAAAATAAGGCTCGAGAGGCCATACAATTTTTCAGTCAGTGATATAGTGAACTGTTTTATATTTTAAAATGTAATTTATTCCTTTGATGACAGCTGATTTTTCAGCTTCCATTAGAATAGAAAGATCAAAGGAACTGCATTTATTTGAAACATGTCTTTTTGTAACATATAAATGTCTTTACTGTCATCTTTGTTCAGTTTTCTGCGTCCTAGCTGAGTATTAATTTATATAATTTACTCATCATAAATGATTACTTATATTTATTGCTTCTGTATTCAAATATTTATCATTTATTATAAAAAAAAAACTTGAGCACATTTTTGAATGGTGATGTATGTATAGATTTGATTCATTTATTTAGAATTTGCTAATTTATAGCTTTATTTGTGGTTCATCCAGTCATACTTTAGAGCTGGAACTATATTTTATGGTAATGTTTTATAGTAAAGTGAAACGTAAACTAAGAAAGTTACAATTAACTAAGAAACTACGTAGGTAACGGCATTGTTTGTGTGTGTTCTGTAGCAGCAGCTCCAGGCTCACCAGCTCTCTCAGCTGCAGGGGCTGGCATTGCCCATGACCCCTCTTCCTCTCGGCCTGAGCCAACCTGCCGGCCTCCCCGCTGTCACCTCCAGCTCTGGCCTCTTCTCCCTCTCCAGCATCCTGGCCTCTCAGGCCCAGCTGGCCAAGGAGGATAAGAGCACACGCGAGACCTCCGACAGCCACCGCGAGGAAGACGGAGACAAGTCCGACTAGTCACCCGCCAAACCCGTTCCTTCATCCAATCATCATCCAGAGCTCCACGTAGAGCAGAGGCACTTGTTTCCCTGTTTTTTCACCTTTTTTTTTTCTTTCTTTGTTTTCCACTCTCCTTCCATCTTTCTATCTTCCCTCTAAATTGCTACTGTGTTCACATGCCTAATGTAATTTGTTCTGGTTCATTCCACCAGCTCTCTATATGTATCCACCTTTTTATTGTTACGAATGCTTGATTTTGATTTTATTACCACTATTTCTTGCCTGCGTGTGTATGTATGTATGTATATATATATACTGAACAAAATTATAAACGCAACACATTTGTTTTTGCCCCCATTTTTCATGAGCTGAACTCAAAGATCTAAGACTTTTTCTATGTACACAAAAGGCCTATTTCTCTCAAATACTGTTCATATATATATATATATATATATATATATATATATATATATATATATATATATATATATATTGTATATTTCTTACGCTCGTTGTGGAAATGGTCTACAACCGTTAATGGACCATCGACCCTTCAGTAATAATTCCTCTGTTTTTTTCCCCCGCTCACTCTCTTCCTCTTAAAATCTTTCACCTTTTAAAGCTACAATCTACAATAACTGAGTCAAAAGCACTTTGGCCCCAGGCAGTAACTCTGAGACTAAAAGCAACTTTGAATCTAAAAACTTAGCCGCGGCATAATCCATTTAGAGTTTAAAGGATTGGTGTTATTGTTCGAAGTCATGGCTGTTGCATCTATCCTACCTTAAAGGGACAGTTCCAGTTAAAATGAGGATTTGTTTCATTTTTATGTCTTTCCAAACCTGTTTGACTTATATTCATCTGTGGAGCACAAAAGGAGATATTTTGAAGACCGTTCATGCTGCTCCTTTCCATACAATACAAGTGAATGGTGACCACAGGCAACAAGCAAACTTTGATTTTGTTTCTTCTGTGGGACACAAAAGGAGACTTTTTGAAGAATGTTCACACTGCTCATTTCCATACAATGAAAGTGAATGGGGAGCAAAGCAGTCAAGAACAAAAATCACCATAAAAGCATTACAAAACTAATCCATATGCCTCGTGTACTTTATTTTAAGTGTTCTGAAACTGTTTGAGTGAGAAACTTAAGAAATTAAAGTTATCTACTAGAAATGTAGCTTGATAGTTGTGCTCACCATTCACTTTCATTTTAGTCTCTAGTGTTTCACGTAGTCAGCGATACAGGTTTGGAAGGACACGAGGGTGAGTAAATTGTGACAGAATTTCCATTTTAGGTATGAACTAAGGCTACGTTTACACTAGTGCGTTTTCATTTTAAAACGCATACCTTTTGCTACGGTTACGCCTGTCGTTTACATTACCCCAGACTTTTGAAAACGCTGCAGACCCCGTTTTAGTTTGAAAACTCCGGGGTTGCATTTCAGTGTAAACGGACCAAAACGGAGACTTCTGAAAATGATGGCGTGGCTGCCCACATTCTCTCTGCATATCCTTGACGACCATGTAAACAATAACATTGTTTACATTTTACGGTTGTGTAGTGTGGACCGAGCATAGATATATATACGTAGATGCCTCATTACCGACTGTTTCTATGGGCTATACTATTCTATTCTCTATACGTAAGCCGTCTGCCATATTGTAACGGTCAACTTGACGTCATTCACCATAATAATCACTGAATATTCAAAAGATGCCACAATCCTGCACAGAACGGCTCAATAGCTCTGTGAGAACCTACAGTATGGTGAATGACGTCAAGTTGACCGTTCCAAGATGGCGGCCGCATCTACGTGCCTGTAGCCGTCAAATGGGGCATCTATACATATCTATGGGAGAGCGAATGTTTCTGAAATGCAAGTGTAGATGAGGATTGTTTTCATTTTAAAACGCCGTTTTAAAACGAAAACGCACTAGTAAAAAACGGGGCCTAACCCTTTAAACTGCTTGATGAATAATATTGAAACGAAGAAAGTAATATTGTACTACGCCCTTCAACATACTGTATATCGATCTACCTGTTTGCCTGATTTCTAATGTGTTTGGAAGCTGTTGTGCTGTCTTAGACAGAGAATATTAGATGAATCCTCTGAGATGCTAGCTAACCTGCTCACCAAGTGAAAAGGAATGCTGTTTAAAAGATATTTTCAGTCTTTTTTATAGTAATGTCGATTGTCTACATGGTGAGAGTCTTGCTTTCCTTAGAAGGTAAGTTGTGAGAATAAGATATTTGAGAAATAAGAAGCACCTTCTTTAAACATTTTTATTCATTGTTTTGATAGCACTACAGAAACGGGAAGTATGTGAAATCTTAAGTGTGATTTATAACAAGCCCTCCCAACAAAGAAAAAATAAATTCCTAGCACAGTATGTTACCTTAAGTGGACTTAAGGTAAAAGCTAAGTTTTGCATATTCAGTCTCCCAGTGTCATGTTGTATTATGTAGTATGTGATTCTACCAAGAGGGGGCAGTAAGTCCATAGCAAGTCCACACTAACACCCTCAGGGTCATTTTAGTTTGGAGTTGGTCTATTTTAAGTGTCCTATGTTGGTTTTTGCAAACATTTAATAAAATATGCTTCTTTCGACCCGCCAAAAAATAAATAATGACTCTAACATTTATTCAGTCAGGAGTAAGCATCAAGAAATATCGGATTCAGGAGTGAAGCTGCTTCCTAACTTGTCTTAATGGGACAGTTCTCCATTTTCCAATTAAAAGTTAGTTAAACAGTGCCAACATAAGAAAAATTGTCAATGAAAGGCCACCTGATGATATCGTAGTGCTTTCAAAACAAATCTGCTCATGCTTTTTTTTTATTTTTTTTTTATTGGCAAATGTTTTTGGTTTGACTCTGCCAGTGTATTTATGAAAGAAGTGCCAGGATTTATCCTTGTGGCTTGCTACATATGCTCAAATCTATCTGTTGACAATTTTTTTTTTAAAAGTAAGTACAAAAAGGTAGTGGTCGCTGCGTAACCGTTAAGAGTTCAGGATCAGATCTAGCCAAATGCGAAGTGTTTTGCTATAAAGGTGGGCCGCAGGTGTACTGTATGTGTACATTATACATAGACCTAAAGCTTTGTGCAAATGGATGCTTTTGTGTCAGTCTTGAATGATACGTCTGTGTTTTAGAGGACTCTTTACTCATGAGGCACTTGAGATCAGGTTGTCGCCCCATCCTTTCTTTCTTCAACCCATGACAGCCGTCTCCTCCCAGAATTCATTGCTTGCCTTTTGCCATTTGTTTAAAGCATTGTAAGCATTCTGTGCTATAAAAGTCTTTGTTTGTTTTTCAACTCCTAATTTTTATGTATATTGTACAACCTACAGTGCAAAAATAATTGTTATAAAATTGCTTCATTCCATATTAAAACAAAGTACATAAAAATTTACTATACATTGAAATTTCTGCAGTAAGGAAATGCTTCTGGTGCCTTACAAATAAAATCAATCAAATCAATGTTGAACATGTCAATGTTTTTATTTTGTAATTTGTATGCTTGTGGGAAATAACATTGCAGGTATGAAGAAATATTGTTTTCTGACAATGTTTTTTTTTTTGGAATCTACCAACAGCCTTGTTGATAGTTTTGGTTATTACACATGTAATTCTCTCACACTTGTACAAAATTTCATACTTAATGTCATGTTGGATTTTAGGCCAAACAAATGAAAACTTATATACAGTGGGGAAAAAAAGTATTTAGTCAGCCACCAATTGTGCAAGTTCTCCCACTTAAAAAGATGAGAGAGGCCTGTAATTTTCATCATAGGTATACCTCAACTATGAGAGACAAAATGAGAGCAAAAAATCCAGAAAATCACATTGTAGGGGTGGCTGACTAAATACTTTTTTGCCCCACTGTGTGTGTGTGTATGTATGTATGTATGTATGTATATATATATATACATATATATATACGGTGGTGTGAAAAAGTGTTGGCACTTTATTGTTTCAGATCAAACTAATTTAAATATTATTAAAAGATAACACAAGTGAACAACATGCAGTTTTTAAATACTTAACCCTCTTGGGCATGGAGTTCACCAGAGCTTCACAGGTTGCCACTGGAGTCCTCTTCCACTCCTCCATGACGACATCACAGAGCTGCTGGATGTTAGAGAGCTTGAGATGCTCAATAGGGTTTAGGTCTGGAGACATGCTTAGCCAATCCATCACCTTTACTCTCAGCTTCTTTAACAAGGCAGTGGTCGTCTTGAAGGTGTGTTTGGGGTTGTTGTCATGTTGGAATACTGCCCTGCGGCCCAGTTTCCGAAGGGAGGGGACACCTGGTTGCTGCCACACACGCTTGACACCATCTGAACCTAATAAGTTTATCTTGGTCTCATCAGACCACAGGACATGGTTCCAGTAATCCATGTCCTTAGTCTGCTTGTCTTCAGTACACTGTTTGCGGGCTTTCTTGTGCATCATCTTTAGAAGAGGCTTCCTTCTGAGTCGACAGCCATGCAGACCAATTTGATGCAGTGTGCGGCGTATGGTCTGAGCACTGACAGGCTGACCTCCCACCACTTCAACCTCTGCAGCAATCTATTTCCCAAACACAACCTCTGGATAGGACGCTGAGCACGTGCACTCAACTTCTTTGGTCGACCAAGGCGAGGCCTGTTCTGAGTGGAACCTGTCCTGTTAAACCGCTGTATGGTCTTGGCCACCGTGCTGCAGCTCAGTTTCAGGGTCTTGGCAATTTTCTTATAGCCTACGCCATCTTTATGTAGAGCAACAATTCTTTTTTCAGATCCTCAGAGAGTTCTTTGCCATGAGGTGCCATGTTGAACTTCCAGTGACCAGTATGAGAGAGTGAGAGCAATAACACCAAATTTAACACACCTGCTCCCCATTCACACCTGAGACCTTGTAACACTAATGAGTCACATGACACCGGGGAGAGAAAATGGCTAATTGGGCCCAATTTGGACAATTTCACTTAGGGGTGCACTCACTTTTGTGGCCAGCGGTTTAGACATTAATGGCTGTGTGTTGAGTTATTTTGAGGGGACAGCAAATTTACACTGTTATACAAGCTGTACACTCACTACTTTACATTGTAGCAAAGTGTCATTTCTTTAGTGTTGTCACATGAAAAGATATAATAAAATATTTACAAAAATGTGAGGGGTGTACTCACTTCTGTGAGATACTGTGTATATATATATTAATGAATAGTCATTAGTAAATTAGGAGTTGTATTATTAGAAAATTTGTATTTATTTATTGTTTTTGTTTGTTTGTTTATGCTTAAAATAAA